CTCGTGCAATTCCTTTAATTGCCTTCCTACGCGATAAACTCTGATATCGTTGATTTATGAACAGATCGTTCGAATCGAAGCGTTAAAGCGTCGAATTCTTCGGATGAATCGTACCAACCAGCGCCTACTTTTGTTTGCGTTAAAGAAGTAATTGCTTACCACTTTTTGAAACTCATTGTTTGATGTAGCTGGACTTTATCGGATAAAAGATTCTTGGTCGCGATTCAGTCGTGTAATTCTCCGGTGTTTACCGATAAATCGCGTTAAACGAGGTGATCGTGTAACACAGGATCGCGTTAGAGATCGCGTGGCACTGTTCGCTCGGGTTTTATTGAATCGATAACGTCTCGTTGGCACGCGTAGCCGAGGGGGTTTGCGCGTTACCCACGCAAATAAATACACCCTATTAATTCTAAATGAAATGTAATATTTGTTTGATCCTTTAACAACGTTTGGTTACATTCGCATGAAATGGAAAACCGGTATTTAATAATTTGTGGTAGGTGTTACCCGATTGACGTGAGTACTAATATTCAAAATTGAAATGCAGTGGTATTCTAACATTAGAATTTTTAAATTGTATTATCGAGGTAATCGTGAAGCAAATTAATTACAGCAAGCTTTGATATCCCGTAGAGCTTGGCGCCAATTGATTTGGTTCATTAACTCCACAGAAGGAGCGCGGTTTATTTGATAAATATTGATTTAAACGAGAAAATTTCCGCTTCAACTATTGAATATTACAATCGGCTGTAGTGGAAATGGAAGCGATAACTAAGGATATCGGTCAAAGGCTTGCGTGGATCGGATAATGAATAGTCGTGATACGATACCGCGATATCAACGATTTAGTCGAGCGAAGAGATCGCGATAATCTGATTCAAGTGGCGCGTAGAGATCGCGCGTGTAAATACAGAGAAGATTGGGCCAAGTAAATCTTGTAAATCTTGTAAACCTTGTAAATCCTGTAAATCCGAAAGAAATCACGGTTTAGCTGGCGCCACGCAGCGTAGCCCCTTTGACCAGGTCGCTCCATTAATTTGTTCGTTACGCGTGCCGGAGTAATATCGATGGTATCTGAATGCGCGAGGGAGGTTAGCGGTTAGGGTGGCTAAGGGAGGCGGGAAGGAGCGGACGGGGTGGACGAAGTGCGGGTTCATGGGTTACGCTGCGCGGCTTCTGACGTCACGTCGCTTGTACGCAAGTTTACTACCACTACCAGCCTCCTCGTCAGCGTCACTGCTATACTACTACTAGTACTACTACTACCTTACTACTGCCTACTACCCCCACGTGGCTCGAGTGGGAGATGTGCTTGCACCACCCACATTTTTCTCTCTCTAATTTACCGTATAACCTTTCCATGTATGCGGTGTCGCCTATCTCATCGTCAGATATATCTATCACTCCTGATATCATTACGATTGTCATTTCGTTACTACTATCCTCTTATTACTACCACTAGAGTTACTACCCCACTACTACTCTCTCACGGGTATGGTCCCCTAGTCCATCTAGTAACTTAGTGTTTCCAAACTTTTTATAATAGAAGAATACTTTAAGACCCTCTTAGGGACAGTCCTCCTGAAATCTAAAATTCTCTTCTAGTTGAGAACCAATAGTGTAACTTGTCCGAGTATACTGTGTCGCTATCTCAAACTTAGTCGCTATCATTACGACTGTGAGTGTTTGCGTCACCATTCCGTTACCACCACGGTGAGTGCACACTATCAAACAGTCGCCACTACAGCTCCTGCAATTCCACCACGTCGTCGTTCCGCAGTATACCACGTTACATTCTACGGCAACTCCGTTTACTACCACAAAGTCAGCAATGTGTGTGAAAGGGACAGAGAAAAACCGATGACACACAAGGGTTGGAAGATAGAGATAGAAGAAAAGAAAGAAAGATAAAAGTAGTTGTTTCCTTTTTCGACTTGCTTCTTTCTGTATCTTTATCTTTCTTCTTTCAGTTGGACAGTTTCCTCTTTTACTCCAGTCGTCTCTCTTCGTCTCGGACAGGTGCTCGCCGAATTACCGCGGAATCGTGGCGAGAAAGAAAAAGAGAAAAGGGTAGGAGAGAGATAGAATACAGCAACCGGAGAGCCGATACCTAATCCTCCCTTCGTTGGCCCACCCTCGGCAGGAAATCAATAGAGAGGGACTCGCTCTATCTCACCCTCCCCCCCTTACCCTTTCTCTCTTTCTTTCTGGTCCTGTTTCGGTCTCGCTGTTCTTTCCATTTCACGCTCTGTCTTTTTCATCGTAAACGCTCGTTGGAAGAAGTTTAGCAAGGAACTCTCGTTTGCACCCCCTCTGTGACTGTATCCCTCGTTTGAGAAAAATCACGAGAGGCTTGTGTTTGTTAAGTACAATATTAATTTAATTCCATGTGACATGATTTTGGATAGGTTAATCGATAAAGGGTCAACGTACCGAGATAATCCTTTGCTCGGCTCAAATGTTTGCACTCTCCCCGGAGTGAAGGTAACTCGATCGAAGGTTATCGATATCACGGGATCGAATAGAGGATGGCAGGTGAATCCCTGTCGAAACTGATTTTGCCCGTTTGTAGAAAAACAAACCAAAAAAAACAAACTAGTCTAGGTAAGAATCGAAAGCGATTCAGGTAGCTTTCCTCGATGAGGTCGAGTTACGCTGGCTCCTCTTCTTCGGAGCCCTTTAAATCGAAACAACCGTGCGACAGCCCCAATAATGGATCGATGTCTGATGGTGTTCGAGCCAGTCTGCAGTTCTTCTACCACGAAGAACGTGTCTCGGCAGAGAGATTACTTCCTAACAAGAAAAGCCTTCCAGTGTTTTAAGATACCTTTTGCAAAACTGATTTCATGTAATTTGAGTATAATACGAATTGAATATTTTTCGTGGAAAGGCAAAGGAAATCGAAGAAAATAATTGATTGAATTTCGTCGAAACACTTGTAGAGTTCTTCTTATTCGTTACGCAATCACGACAGAAACAGATATCGGAAGCGGAGGGTATCGATACGGGAAGCCACTCGTCGGGAATGTCCCTCGAGGGGGATGAAGAAACAAAGGGAGGGTTAGGGGATAATCTTGGTCGGGCGGTGAAAATTGGAATTTCGTTTTCATCGAGGCGTGTGCGTCGAGGTGAGTGTTGGCACTGACGATGAAAGAAGAGATACACGGTGAGATGGGCGGCGCGAACGCGTGACGTAGCGGAAGTCGTGCGTCACCAGTGACGTAGGCAACGTCGAAAGAGGAACGTCCGAAAGAGGCCATTGACGAGGACTTGTTGCACGTCCCTTTCTGCGTAGGTTTCGATATCTCTTCATCTCGGTACCGAACGAGATGAAAAGATAAATAAAATTTTCATTTGAAATTTTAATTGTCGGTCTGCCCTCATCCAGAAATAGACATCTATTAAAAGCTGTAACCTTCGTACAATCTATAATTTCACTTTTCCGCTCCTTTACGTGCATTTTTATACAGAAATAAAGACTACTCCACATTGTTGTATCGTACTTTCACATAGGTTTCATTATTGTTTCATCAATTCGAAGTTTTCCACGTAAACTTTAGATCTTCTTCGAGTTATCCTGGCTGTACATAAGAGGAAGCAAAGTAGCATAGACTTGTTGCATATCCATTCGCGCATGTGTGTCAGCCAGGTCCGAGCCGATAGGCTAGATGAATAGGGAAAGTTTGTCGATGTTTCACTACGGTGGATCGTAAATCCATCCGGATCGATTTGATTTACTCCGTGCATCATCGATTCGTAGCTTTATGCAAGCGTCGAGGAAACGATGAAATTATCGTGTCTTTACTAGGGCGTATCCGTGGCAACTTGGTTACCCTACCACCCTAGAAATTTAGAAGCAACTTAGCCCGTGTATTCTCGTCTAATCGAAGTAACCCAGCGGTGTGTCACAATGTGCCAAGATATTTCGATTAACTCGATCCTGTCGACCTGTAAATGAATAATTTGCTACGGACGTTCATCGATTTCATTTGCATAATCATCTCCTTGTTCCTTGCTTTTCGTTCTCCCAACAGGAAGGGAAACGAGAAAAGAGAGGCTATCATAGCGTGAAATCACGCTAACGAGGATAACTTCCAAATTTTAATAAGCTTTTACGTAAGCTCCCAGCGGTTGATTCGATAGAAGGTGTAATTGTTTTTGACGTTTTAGACACAATGATATGTATAGACTATAGACGCATGTGCACACTTTCCGTCGCGAGACAGGATTATAACCGCAGTGCCAGGCGTTTCCTGTTTTCCTGCTTCTGTGCGGTTGTAAAGTATTTCCTGTACGGTTAGCGAAGTAGTTAAAATTTGATGCCGCGTTCGTTATTTATCGATAGGACCACCGCTTAGCGTTTCTATTTGCATGAAAATTAATGAACGCAATCTTATCGTCGAGCATTATTTCCGAAGGCGATAATACGCATTCTGCAATCGTGTATAGATTACATAAACGACGTTCTAACAAATTCCGTTAAACCAGTTTTAGCTTGAGATGCGAATCTAGGCGACGAAATGTTTTATCCATCGCGTACCGGATACAGAATCGTTTTGACCCAGCCACCCTAATTTATACAGGAAATTTATTTTCAAAATTTTATGCAGACAATTAAAACTAGTCGTTCATTTTGATACCGTTTGATAAAAAATATCCGCATGAAATTAAAATTAATCCTTGACCCTCTCGATAAATCATTTAAAACGGTAAATTATATGAATTAACGTTAATGAATCCGTTGGTACGATACGATAGCGGGTATATCGTTATGTTCGCATAATTGAGTAACGGGCTCGAAATGAAAATGATTAATATTTATCGCCGAGTGCAGTAACATTTTCTGGCACGGTTCGTGTCGTCACGTAAAATTGCACCAGTGGGAATTTAAATCGCACGAACATGTTCGTGCGAAGCGTGTGTCTGTCTGTCTGTCTGTTTGTCCGGCTGTCCGTTCGTTCGTTCGTTTGTGGGGGCGAGACAGAGAAAGATGTTTGAAATTCTAAAACGACTCGCGTGGTTTTCAATCCATCGATAAGTACGGTAGACAATTTAGTACGGAAAGCTGTCGACAGATGGCGACAACGGAACAGGTGCACTCGACCAATCGGCGTGCGCGTAATTCCCCCCACCCCTGACCATCTACCGATTGGCGCTACGGCGGTGTCACGAACAGCGATCGCAATATGGCTTCCGCCACCGCCAGCAAGTGAGAGTACCTCCGAAGGTGACATCGAAACATGGTGGAATATTTAAGAGTGCGCGAAGCGTCGCGCGTGTGAAAATTGCTCGCGTGTCCGTCTCTATAATCCCGTGTCGAATCGACGAGTGTTCGATATACAGTGCGCGCGATTGGGAAAACAAAACATTTCGGGGAAGAAGAGAGAGAGAGAGAAACACTTGTGTTCGGTCTGTCGTTGGACAGAGACGTACTGTACGCACGGGCTGTAGGTTAGAAAAGGATAGAGTGACGGTGTGATACATCGGTTCGTTTAGCCAGGGGTTTCTGACACGAGAATGCGTATCGATAGGAAAAGAAGCACGAAATACCGTGTCGCTCGGCTTCGAAGATATCGTTTCGTGCGAATAACGTTGTAATTCGAAAGCGGAGAGAACATCGAATCTTTTTCGATAGTTGAACACGGTGCGCGCGACTCACACGTCGAAAGCGTGGCTCTGTCGGTGTGTTACGTTCCGTACACACGCCGTGGTCGTGTCCCGATTTGCGTGCGTGTGCGTGGCCGTGTACGTGCTATCTTTCGGTGTTGGAAATTGAAAGAAGACAGGCGGTCGGTGAATGAGCGGGGAAGAATGAGAAAAAGAGTAGAGCGGCGGCACGGGGTGTTGTACATCGACGAGCACGACGACGACGACGACGACGTAACAGAGAGAAGAAGAGGCAAAAGAGCGAGTGAGTGAGCCAGGGCGACGTTGCCAGAGTTTTCCTTCTCGCGTTCCCTACACCGTATAGCACGTACCTTCGTGCTCCGGGAGCAAGACCGAAACAGAAAGAATATTATGTGACAAGGAGCGAGAGCAAAGTAGTGCGCGGAAGCTTAAATACATACACGCGTGCACGCGTGCACACTGCGAGAGGGGCACGAGCCACGAGTAGCGTGAGTCGCGCGAAAAGGATCTAGGGAATTTTTGCTCTCTACCCCCCTTTGAGTTCGTCGATTTGTCGGTAGTCGGTAGTGTTTTTGTTCGTGCCCTCTGAACGTGATTCGTGAATTACCATGAGACGACTCCCAATGACGTACACACTGAGCACGTGACACGCCGAGTTAGGCCGATCGACAAGCCATGAAGAAGCCACGGTAAGTTTTTACGAAGCTACAATATCTGCTAATGTTTCGAAAGAACGATGTTCCTATTATACATGTAGGTATGTATGTATACGTATAAGAGTAAGATGTCCGTTGCGAACGAGTGACGCGTTTAACGCGCGCTCAGTAGTATAGCTCGGCCTTAAATAGGGGTTAGGTCGGTTAGGTCGGTAGCGTATAGGTGTTAGCGAATTTTCCGCTCGTCGGGGGATTTCGATTCGCGGCTACGTCAGTGAATGCAGAAGCGGGTACGGGTACACGACGCGGTGGTGAAATGACGCGATTATAGGGGGATGAGTCAGAAGATTGACGCCTTGTTTATCGATCTCGACGCTGCTAGATGTTCGTTACGGTTATCGATATTAACATGCCGCGAAACGCGAAACGTTTGCAAAACGGCCAACGTGCTTGTCGCGAAACGACGACAACGTAATAATTTCGCGCGATATCAGACGGGACTAGTGGTGGGAGGGGTTGGCCGATAAATTCACGGACAATTCCATCTTCCGACGACGCGGCTCTATTTTTAGCGGACCGTCCTACGGGTCCTACTTTAATTATCTGTTCGTTATTATTGGAAACCGCGTGGAGGCGGTAGATACGTTTCTCGCTCTGCTCCGTTGCCGCGTTATTAACTACTTTTGCATAGTTTTATGAAAATAAAGCTTCGCTTTCGCCGAGTTTTACCTAGAGTTCTTAACTTGTACTGGAATGCTTGAAAAAATTGAGAGACGGTTGTTAGCTCGATTCGGGTCAGAGAAACGATTACGCTGGTTGCTGTTAGTCGATCGAATCGTGTCAGGAATCGCGGTAGCTAGCCAAGTATCAGTCAGGAAGGCGAGACGAAAGAAACGCGATGGGACTCGAGGCGGCGATGCCTTGGTCCGTGCATCGTGCACAGAGAGAACGAAGCACACGACGCGAGGAATTCGAGGCTCGAAGTCGAGAACGTTCCAAATACTTGCCGTTCTTGGTCGTCGACGATCAGACCGAGTTGCGTAGGTTGCTAAATTATGAAGGGAACAAGCGGACGAAGAGGACAGATTAAACGTTTCAGAGTTCGTCAACTTTGGAATCTGTCCCGCTTCTCCCGCCGTTCTTATCAGCGTCCTGCGTGATTTCGCAAGCAACCGATTGTGTTCGTTTATTTGCATTTTTCATGTTATTACATTATTACATTATCACATAGGTACACGTGTCGACACGTTTTATTTCTTTGCCCTAGAAGCTAAATTACTTATAAGATTACAATAGTTGAGGAAACATCGTATAAGAGAGAGAAAAAAGTAGTTTTCAAGGATCATTTTTCTAATAATGAAAGGGCTCTTTTTCCTCGTCTAATTTTCAAGCTTTCCACGATTCATAGAACGTAATACCACTGTTGCTCGATAAAGTTTTCCTGAATTGCACGACAATTTTCCAGCCGACCGATAAAATAAGCATCTGCTACTTTCTCCAATGATGCTCGTATGTAATGCGTAGCAAAACCAAGTCGATCAACGGTCTCCCGTGGTATACGATTATCCACACGAATATCCTTACAGCTAAATTAATAATAGAACGTGGAAGGACGATAACGGAGACTCTGTCAAGGCCGAGGGAGGATTTCCGAGCATCGATTCGTTAGCAACCCACGATTGCCTTTGGTTGCTCGTAATTGTAGCCTTTTTTTAGACTCCTCCATGTACAGCTAACTTTTACCTACCATTTGATAATAACTTGTTCCCCTAACTTTGAAATCTTGAATTCTTTCGTCTCGGAAAACTATTTCTGAAACGGGTCACCGTACCTTGGATTTGTCGAAGGGTGTTCCGGATTGTCTCTTGAAAATTTTCAAGGGAAACAATTTCATGCGAGTATAGACGACGGGCATTGGGTTATTCCTGACTTCTCCCAAAATCGAAAGCAAATTGTGAAAGGGTCCTCCTCTACCCTTACCCTTAGCTATAGAAACCAGGCTATAGGTACCAGGTGTACACCAGGCTGCAACGTAGGCTTCTTTCGGTTAAGACGAGAGGGGAAGTTTACAGATATGTAATGCTAACGATGGTTTTTATTCGGTGGTTTGAGCTCAACACTTGTTGAATCGAGATCATTATCTTACGGCTACGTATATCATTAAATCGTCGAGGTTTCGGTTTCGCCGAAATCCATTAAACGTCAGTTTATTCGTGTTAACAAGGAAGACGGTTAATTAGGATCGTTAACCGTGGAGAAGTTGGTTGAATTGAATCTCTGACCGGCTCCGTTTCAGTAATTCGAAATCAATTGTTACTTGTTAGCCGCGATTAAGAAAGAAAATTCGCTGGAAGTAGATTATCGAGAATCGAATCGGAACGGTGTATTGTTCGGGGACCGATCTGAAAGTTACGCTTACCTTTGGAACACATGAAGTATACCGGCAAAACGTCTACTTGGTCTGGCGCTGGGGACATAAAGTATGCAGAAAACGAGCATCGTTCTACTCTTGATTTTATTGCTTATTCACCCGGTGCACCGGTCCCGCACGCGTTTAGAGTCGATCTTCTTCTGTTATCGCCTACCATTACCGCACATTTCCCCGTTATCGACTACGACATCTGATTCAATCTCCTGGAAGTACTCATGATTCTTACCCACTTTTGTTTAACGACTAATTTCGTAACTCGTCAAGTTATTTCGCATGGAGCAATTGTTAACTCATCCTCTAGCTACTAATGGGGAACACAGTTGCTTGTCGTGATTATAGTGATGGAAATTTAAAAATAACAATTATCGCCACTTGAATAAAGTTTTAATAAGCAAACATCGCATCGATTATCGTATTATGTATAATCGAGCGTCGCGACGAGTCTTATCGAATTCTCGCGGGACAAGCGACACCTACGACTTTATTGTCCGGCGGGAGGATCGTAAATAGCCGGTGTAAACGATCGTGAAATTGCCGGGGTACGATTACGTTTCTATGGACGATCGAAATGGAAAGCTGTCGATGGCACCCAAGATAACGACGCGAATACGCCAGCGGTGAAACCAGGATCGGCTCGATGCCTGATACGCGACCATCTAGCTATTTAATAGGCTAATCGAGTCGGGTAATTAATATGTTTGATCGTAACGGACCTGTGTTGCATCCGATCGATAATATAGATCTGCTAAGGGGAAAAATGATAGATTAATACCTTGTTGACGATTACGCTACAGGGCGTAGATTTACTGTAATGACACCTTCCAGGAATAGATTTACAAGATAAACTTCGAACTGGCTGATATAATATGTTTATGTTTTGCTCCCAGCGATAACACACTCACTTGGTACTACGTATATATTGAAAAACAAGTCTCAAATAGTTTAACTGTGAAAGGATCACCGATTTCTAGTAAAGATTAAGTTTCAGTTGAATTTCCGAATGGTTTGAACGTGCCCAATCTGGTCGCTGAGTAATAAGCATCTAAACCGGTCTCGTTTGCGTAATGTCAGCGTATTATTAATTAATCGGCGTACAATCGGAGCAGGGGTCCTTTTGTTGTCAGTACGGTCTGTTGTCTCGGAGACATTGATTCATAGAATAAAATCCATCATTACTTGGCTGGGTTACGCATACTCCGCTAGTTTAAACCCTCTGTCTAGTTCAACGCGTTTGTTCTCTTTTCATCTTGATTTCCTACATTGTTGAAGTCTCTCGAGGCTTGATAACTCCACGATAAAGGCTGTAGCTGACAAGCCGTTTTGATAAAGGCAGCCACCACTGTCCGACCGTTGTCCTGGTCGTTTGCAATTTCGGCGACTCAAAGCTACCATTACCTCGCTCGCTGGCCGATACACCTCGCCACAGGGTATTTCTATCGACCGGGATGACAATCAAATTACTCATCGACCAAGATGCTCAATCCAGCGACTTAAGTTGAACGCCCTATGTTAATTCCGACATGTGATTTCTGATTCTGTCGGTTCGTAAACTAGACAATAGCAAAGGGAAGATTCTAAGTTGATGCCGGATTAACCCCTTTGCTCTTTAATCCGCTCGTTTATTCTGCTATTCAGTTTGCAGTTGGCTTGTAATTACTGTATAGGCGGATCAAAAGGATAGGACAGAAGCACTTTCATTTTGTTGGATCCTCGAAATCAGCGCACCTTTCACTGTCAAACCAAGTGTATTTTTTAACGAATAGTCAAAGGATTAAACTTTGCGTCTCAGATGTGTTTTATTCGGTCCCTCGTGTAAGATAAGAAGGAGTAACCGGCACGTGGGTGTGAAAAATTGTCTAAAATCCTTGGAAACGTGATCGTGCGATCTACGATGAGATTCTCTTCGGTAAGCTACAGGGTATTTTTTAGCCGTATTTCACGGTGAAACGGTGCAATTGCAATAAACAAAGGCTGCGAAGGGTTTACGATGGTTGCACGTGTGCGCGGTGAATCTATAATGGAATCGTGGCGAGTAGACGATTTTTCCCGTGTGGGAAAAGAAATGTGGAAAATCGAAGAGGTTGCAAGGAGTAGGTAAGTACATATGCAAGTAAAGGGAAAACAGACGAAGGATGATGTTGCGAATGCTCGAAGAGACGCGATGTAGTTTCTCTATCCTCTATCCCATATCGATTCCGCGAAGCGTTACACCGACGACGATTATATTTTATTTATCCGAACCGGTTGCCGAACGTCTATAGTTTCCTAGCATCGCGTCGTTCTCCAATGCACACACACTTTTTCCTCTCGTGATTTTCCTTCGGCTTCTTGAACCGATCGATGAACGTTCGGTTCGTTACATCGAGCCGCGATCGTCCTTTGAAAGTTTGATGAAGAACACGTTCGTTGACCCCTTTCATTGGAATTTCATATCCCCGAGGATATTGCAGACTGTCACGAAATTCGCGAGCGTATACCACGCTTGGGAAAGTAGCAAAAGAGCCGCGGTAAACATTGCATCTTCGAAAAGAAAATCTTTCACCGTAATTGTAGTCGGTCGTTCCCAACGCTCCTGCTCGAAGATTAGAAGTTAATCCCCCCC